ATTATATCAATAATTAAAATATTTCTGAGAAATAGAGTTGTAATATGCTTTATAATTTTAAAAATTATATAATTTCAATATATAATATTGTATTACAAATCCGAGAATATTTTATGAAAATAATTTTCCAAAGGTTACAAATATATAACTTTTTTTTTTTCAGTTGTAAAAATAAATACTGAAATTTTTTCATTTTATTATTAAAACCTTTTGATTTAAATAAATTTTTGATCATTTAAAATAATCCATTGTCTCATTGATCTAAATCTTAGTGATACCCAACTTTTTTAAATTGAGAATTATTTTCAGAAATAGTTAAAATCTTGAGAGTTGAATAAATTTTATTTTATAAACAAGAAAATTAAAAAAATAATATAATTTATAAATATTTTATAAATATATCATTTATTTATAAAATATAAGTTACATTTTTAAATATAAATTCTTAAAAAATTCTCAAGAATGCATTTTAAATTGTAACACTGTGAACATTTATTACATGTTAGTGTGATATTTGATTGTGTGATTATTGAGCTGTTCAATAAGATTGATACTTATGTGTGTTGTGATATTTAGAAAAATAAGTAGAAACAAAATTATACGAATTATTTTCAAAATGAAAAAGGCTTGCGAATTACATAATGTTACTATTTTGGTAATTTGCATAAAATAGAAAATATAACTTTTTATTTTTTGTTATGAGTCGACAAATTACATAAAAATTAATAGGCGGAGGGGAGGGGTCGCGGGTTGCGTACCACTGATCTAAATTGTTGCATGAAGATTGAAAATCCTGAATTGCTATATTAAGATAGGGATAAAAATTTATTAGTATGAATTATGAAATATACCAAGCTACACAAGGACAAAACATTTTACTTGGTCACTCTTTAATCGTTTAAGGCCGAATGTTGCGTAGTTAGAAAAACTTAAGTTGCACGAATGCACTGTAACATCTTTGTGCCTTAGTTAAGATAATTTAGATAACCTCTACAGTTAAATTTGGATCATTTAAACGTCTCTGAACGTGAAAATATGTGTCAACTTGTATAATTTGCAGAACTATAAAAAAATGAATTTACAGAATAAATTAACAAAAATACATTAACCATTAATAAGCTTAATATTATTTTATTTTATTTACAAAAGGTCATTTATATTTACATGTTATTGGTTTTTATATCTACAATGTAATTATAATGTTCATATGGCTTTCTTTGACTCATTTTTATACATTTATATATATATATATATATGTGTGTGTGTGTGTGTGCGTGCGCGCGTGCGCGTGTGCGTGTGCGTGCGTGTGTGTGTGTGTGTGTGTGTGTGTGTGCGCGTGTGCGTGTGTGTGTGTGTGGTACGTAATTCTACGATTTTACATTCTGATTCTTTTCTATAAGTCATTGATTTTCTTTTAATAATATGTGACTTTACGAGTGCAATATAACTTTACTATTTAATTCTTGATCTGTAAAACTGCACATCGTGACAGATTTTTGCGAACTATGAATATAGATCCGCAATGAACATGAAATATCGTGATTCGCGATGTAGCAACGCTGAATAATCTACATATTAGACCGAGGACAGACAGACCGTACGCAATTTGCGATTTGCAAGGTGATACGCTTTTTCCATTCTTAATATAACAACTGTCATCCTAGACGATGGCCATTGTCATTGGGATGCTAGGTTGCTCCCGTATCCATCTTCAAACCGTATTTTATGTTTATGTATGATATTTGTTTGTAATTTATTTTAACTAAAAATTGTGATAATAATGTTAGTAGAGCTTTTTCTTAATTTTCTTTAAGATTTCTAGAAAAGTCTAATACTTAGACGTAATATATTTTAAAATTAAATATTGAAATTATATATATATATATATATATATATATATATATAATTGTATATGTATATTTATATATGCAACATGTTACACACTTACATTATATAAATATAATAATATTATTAATATGTATATAATAATAATAAATTAACATATTTTTTATGCTATAAAATAAAAAAGTGATAATAAATTGTTATGTTTATCTTGGCAAGTCAATAAACTTATAATAATTGTTACAGTGTAATATTGTTACAATAATTGTTACAGTGACATAAATTCATGCAAACATGACATGCACATTATATATGTATACATAATTAAATTCAATTAGAACTTAATAATAATGTAATAAATCATGCAGTGATTTAAGTTTTGATGTATCAATTTGCACACTGTACATCCTAAATCAGACACAATTCCTATTTAATAATGTTTTTCTAACAAAAGAAAGTGCAAATGAATGTAAACTTTTAACTTTTGTACTGTGAATATTATGAAATATGTAGAACATATAAGATGTAAAAGACAGTTTCGTGTAGAAGTATAGCTACCTCTAAAGTTATACTGAATTGAAAATTATATAAATTCAAAGTTGTTTTTATTTTAATTTACTTTTACTTAACATGATTACAATTAACTAGCCTGGTCTAATTTTTGTTGAGCATACGTAATAATATATTGAATTAAGTAATATTAAATTAATTAAGCTTCAAAAATGGAAATAAAAGGCTAATGTTTTTGGCGCGGTAAGTAAGGCGCATAAAGTCTTGGAATATTGTATTAAAGACTTATTAAGTCTTTTTTAAATACTTGTCTAATCCATGCTCACTCCATAGTCACTCATGAATTAGACAAATATTTAATAACGATCTTTAATACAACATTCCAAGACTTTATGCGCCTTACTGCGCGCGCCAAAAACTCTCATAGCCATTTGTTTTTATATTTTTTGACAATTTCGAGAATTTGTTAATATTGTTTGATTCAGCTAATTTTAGTTTTAATATTTACATTTTATTAAATTGCTGTTTATTATCAAATAATTCAAGAATAACTAATCACAGTAATATTATGAGTTTATATTTCTACTGTTAAATAATAAATTATTTTTATACATATAATATAAAATTATTCAAATCTGATATACACTGTCATATTCTATCTCTCTCATCATCACAGTATGATGTATTATATATTTATATTGATATATAAATACAAGATTATTATCAATTATGTGTATAGGTAGATATACCATGCGTTAGAATCGATGATCCAAACTTTGATAAAAAGGCTGGGAAGGATTACAAAATATATAGAGAATGCATACTTATATAATATTTCGCACATATTTTGAGCAATATAAAAACTCTTAGAGACTATATTATAGAAGATGCGGATGATATCACGGATTCGACCATGAAGACGCGGAACTTTCGCGTCGATTCTCGGTCTCGTAAGCTAGTAGGAGATGGATTAAAAGAAGGAGATGGAAAGAAAGAAGGAAATAAGATGAAATGAGAAAGAATGAGAGAAAGGGAGGGGAGATGAAACTGTAAACGTTTGACGTCACTCAAAAAGCCCGCTAATGCGTCTTTTCGTCAATGCGAGCTGGCTTGCAGTTTCACGAAACACTTTGTCGTCAATGTCATACGTATTTACGTTGCAAAATATCTATGTAAACGTGGATGTGAGATTTAATATTTTTATAATGATATATGCATACGGATTCTTTAGAAAACATCAAAATGTCGACAAGAGAACAAAAGAGAAAAAGTATTTGATAAAGTTTGGAAGTGAATCGTCATAAGCATGTGCGAAATTCTTAGAAGTATGTAAATGACAATATAAACAGAATGTTTCAAAGCAAGGAGTTGTACAATGTATGAAGTAAAATGTAAAATGATATTTTCGGAGTTTTAGAGATATCATTTAGTTAGAATAATACGTATAGACTTCGATTTTTATTTATAATATTGAATATTTTATCTTAAAAATTTTTTTTATTAATAATAATTCTGTATTCCAGAAAAATGTGAGTATATTATTATGGATTTTTTATTTAAATAAACCCTATTATATTAAAAGTTCGACAATTATTTATGAAGAATTTACGCTACTCTTAATTATATGTTAAATAAGATTAAAATAAAAATTAGATAAATTATATTTTAATATTTTACATTAATATCTAAAAAATCTAATTTCATTCATACTTTTTTGTAAAACAATTATTTTTAAAGATATAAAAGCAATTGTTATTTTTCAAAGCTAAGAGGAAAATTATCTTAACTTCAAAACTTTAGATTAATAAAAAAATGTCCCCAATCTATAAATATTACGAGAAAAAGTCACTACGTATTAGTTAAAGAAAATCTTTCATTATTGAAAATAGTGCTATCAAAATTTATTCGATTTTGTGTTTGAAATCCGAATTTAATTAGACATGCGAGCGTAGATGTACGGAAATGGATCCGTAAATCTATACAGGGTTAATAGAGGCCTTCATATGCCCTCGCGTGTCCGTTAGATTTCCGGCATAGCAGGAAATGTGCGGAAAGCCGAGAAATACGTCACGTCGTATTAAAATCATGATATTAAGTCCATTTTGTGCACTAATATTTATCATCAAATTTTTTTTTTAATTTTATACATGTATTTGTTATAAATTACAACTATAATATTAAACTATAATATTAAAATTATAAGCTGAAGATATTATTAAACATTATAATAAACACACAATAACATTAATTATAGACATAAAATATTTTAATTAAATAAGATATGAACAAGAAGAAGAACATATTAATCTACATTAAAAACAATATTATGATACATAATATATATGTGGTTTATATGCTTTATTATCTTTGCTCACCAAAATAATGAATGCATTATAAATCTAATAAATATATGATAATATTGTATATATCATGTATCAATATAATATATCAATCTTATTCACCTTTTCAGATTTTCTAACGTAGAATTATACTCATAATTTAATGTCTTCACAAATAGAATATAAGCAAATATTCTAATAATTTTGCAAATAATTGTGTAAAAATACTACATATTTATTTCTTATGTCAGTTTTTGCATTTAATAAATCTGTCTAGTATGGTATCTATAAATCTACATAAAGTTTTATGAATGTAAAATAAATACAAAAGTATCATAAATATTTGTTTATTAAAGCAATTTCATATACAAAAATATTTGTCCTTTTTTATATTAGATTGTTTAATATAGGCTTTATGCATGGTGATTAAAGCGTGCGTTTACCACCGCCTGCGCGCTGTAAAGAGATAAATGCTATGGCGAGATCTCATGTGACTCGAGAGAGCGTACGAACATGAGTGAATTTAAAACAGTCGTAAGCGTGCCACGCATACGTGCGCTCGATGTGAGCTGGAAAAGCGCAGAAAAGCTACCATTATTCTTAAAGGTACGTTACTTTATTCTTTATAGAAAATATATGGAAAGAAACGGTACATATTTTTATTAACAAATAAAATTTTAATTTTTTTTGTAATATGTTACATGTTATAATATTTAATTACTATAGCAATACAATTAAATATATTAAATAGTAATTAAATTATTATTGTAATTAATATTCTAATTTAATTATTATTGTAACATTTAATTACTAATTTAATTAATTATTATAGAAGTTTCTAAATATGTATATATACGTATAATTGTATATATGTATACTAACGACATAAGAAAAAACATTAAAATATGCATATTTTAAGTGTCTGGTAATGAATTAAATATAAATTAAGCTTAATTTTTTAAAGTCAAGTGATTCATATATGTCACACAATCTTCAAAAAAACATATCTTCAATAAATATTAAACTATTCAGTTCAATTTGTGCTTATTTTAAAGGAAATTGTCTAAATTTTTACTTAAAAAATGTTGTGATAATCAGCAGATTTAAAAAATTATTTACATAAAAAAATCAGAAAATTCTCTAACATTGTCTGACAAAATTTAATCTCTTTTTTGCAATACAAGTATGAATAATCCGATATCTATATTTTTGCCTGCTAAACACAAATTCCTTGTCAAAATTTGGCTATAACGTTGCAATTTTAAGAAAAATTATTATTACTAAACGCAAAAAATAATGTTGAACAAAAATTCAAAATTTGTCATTACGATTTTCAGAAAAATGACATCAAACAGGCCAAAAACGACAAATCTTTAAAATCATTATTTTTTTCCCAAAAAACATCATTACAAACAATTTTATTATAATTTGATTTCTTGGATTTGCCATTTTGAATTTTTATGTTTTGACTTTTGACTATTTTTTGTACTTAATGATCCTCCAAATCTTTAAAAATAACAAAACAATATACGTACCATTACTCAAAAAAGTTCTGACCTCAAAGAGTTAAGTATATATATTTTTAAAACTGTTTTTATGAATGGATATAGTCTATTTTCCTTTTACTTGAAGATGACAATTTTTAAGAGAATTCTATTAGAAATTTTATTAGAATATAATTTTGTTAAAATAATTTCAAAATGTATTTTTCGAAAAAAGATGTAAATAATATTAATATTAATCATATCACTATTAATCATATCACATTAATAAGAGAGCTAGAATTAATTAAAGATAAAAAAAGATTAAAGATAGAAAAAGCTTTTAAATTTTAAATTTGAATTTTATAGGAAATAGAGATTATGTATTATTAATATTTTTTGTAACTTTCTATGTAGTATGAAAATACCATCTATTTAGTCGTACTATTGATTTTGCAATTTTTTTACATATTACATTATGTCTTTATATTACATTATGTCTTTATTAAACAAATAGATGCAGAAACAGTGCTAAGCCAATTAATCATATATTTTATTTGTTTACCAACACGAATCAACTATTTAAACTATTATTAATTACTATTATTAATTTTGTACTATATTAATTTTGTACTATTATTAATTTTGTACTATTATTAATTTTTATTAAAGTTTTTAGTTTTCAAAATGTTTTAAATATATTAAAATTAACACGCATGTAAAATCTTCAATTTAAAAGCAAATTTTAAGTCGTTTTAATGACAATGCAAAATCATTCCGGATAATTACTAATTACCTTTTTTACGATTGAAAATTCTTAATCAAATGTTGACGACGCATCATATTGACAAACTTATTGATCGTAACATTCGTAGTTTTATAATAGCAAGAAGATGCTTCTTTCGCTTATTTATAGCTAATACATAACATGTTACAAGCAGTTACGTAAGATCAATTAGCATAAATATGTGATGTATAAAAAGTATTTAATTATACAATGCAATTTCTTTTTTATACAGAGACGACAAGAATCTGAAAAAAGTTTGAGAAGATCAAGAGAAGCAGAAAAATAATTGACATTCTTTTTCAAAGATCAAATTAAAATTGCATTTCTACTAACAAGAATAGAAATAAATAAAAACTAAATAAAAAAGTTAAGACAAATAATTAATATAAACAACTGATTAAAATTAAAGAAATAATAATCAAGATAATTGAGATGAGATAGTCAACATAAAGATAGAACTCAACATCTAAAAAAAAGAGAAAGTGTATGTGTGTGTACTATTGAAATGAAGTCGAAACGATTTTTTTCTTGAACAAAGAGAATGGATGAATCGTCGAAACTCTTTCGGCTTCCGGGAACTATCGAAGAAGAAGAGGAAGAGGAACAACAGAGGAAAACAGAGTGTCATAAAGAAAAAGAATTGCTAGACAACGCAGCGGAATCTTTTCTTTTGGGTCAAAAAGAAGTCTCAATTCTTTCTAATTTACCAAGAAATGTCACCCTCATCAGAGTTAGCACCCAAAGCAGCAGTATCGCCGGTGGTATTGGTCGACAAGATTCCACCAGGTAAGGATTTATCTGATTCAAATCGTTTCTTTCTAGCGTTCGTTTCTTTTTATTCAGATAATGCAGATTCTATTTGTGTTAAAAATATTGAACAAAATCACGAGTTTGTTACAAAATCGTTTATTTTTGGAAGAGCGCCATGCTAAAAGCAGGTGCGTCACATTTGCCGAATAATTATCGGCGCCTCTGCTCAACAGATGCTCTTCACGGTTTTAAACAGAATAAACAAAGAAACAGAATGACGTGGGTTGATAATTAAAACCTTAAACTGCCTCAACGTTATTGATAAATTGTATTTGACAATATTATTATGTTATACAATATTATTAAATCTTCTCTAGACAATTTAATATAACTTTTAATCATACACAAATTGTACAATAATTTAATTAATACTTATTAGTTTCATGATAATTTAGTTTCAGAAGACGGCAGATTAGCGACAGAAATCGTATCAGATTTGCGCGATGCAATCTGACAAGATTGACAGCAGAAATCGAGTAAACTCTGTTGTTTTGTATTTAATAATATAGATTTTGGCCAGTATTTATAGTCGGTTCTTATTTTAAGATCGTCTTAGGTAATATTTTAAGATGTCAAACTGTAATTCATTTATAAAATCTTAAGACTAATATAAATCGGTTATAAATATAAAAACCGACCATGAATTTCGGTCATAAAAAATCCGACAAATTTAATAAGCTAGAAACGGACATCATTTAACGGCAGTCTTGCAAGTATTTAATAACAGCACAGTTCCTCTTCGGTTTCTACCGTCATTTCTACCATCAAGTTATATCAACAAGTTATCTATTTGATTTCTGCTATCAATTTAATAATAAAGTATGTTAGCAGGCTTTGTCATATTTTTGACAATTTGCCGTTGTTGATGACATTGTCAGATATTATAGATACAGACTGTGTAAAAGTTTCTGTAAAAACTGGTAGCATATATGTATATTTTGCTCAAAATCTGTATTTGCAGTTTTGGTTATTTGGGATTTTATTTTGGATATTTTTTTAAATTATCTGCATTATCTTTATATTTTCAAAAAGAAATTTCTTCTTCATTACCAATATATCATTTTCAATTCTGATATAATGTTAATGCGTTACATATTTAACATGCAATATACATTTCCAAATACTTTGAGGAAGAGAAGTATATTGAAAAGTATGTTTCTCTCTTCAACCTCCTCCGAATACTATTTCTAATGCAAAAATTATAGCAATTACCAGTTCATATCTATAAGATGTATAAACGAATCTAAACAGCTTGGCATCATTTATATCTTTTTTTGTCACATGCAAAATAATCAAATTAAGCGGTCTAATTAATATATAAAAGCGAATATAATCGCCGAATTATTTTAAAAACATTATATGGATACAAACTTTGCAATAACTTTACGTATTGTATTAGTATAATATGTAACATGCAAGTACAATGTTTGTGATAATAATACCGCGTATTATGAATTTGATAAATGATGATTTATAGAGGGCAGGTAAACACATATGGTAATTTTGTTTGTGGATGTACATGTAACGTGCAATACGGATAAAACGTCAATTGCGTGTTAATTGTGCATGATGGCAATAGACTTATTTTTGTATTTACCACGGAACGTTGATATACTCTATTTATTTTTATCATTGGTAGACAAGGCCCTTTCTAAGCACAAAAGAGTTTCTTATATAGTAAAATGATTTATTAATATGGATTATTATTGTATAATTTATCGCTGAAAAAAGCCTAAAAAAGGCCGAAACAAAAGATTTTGTATGGAGATATAACTACATATTTGAAGATTAAAATTATTTTACGCACCAAGTTCTGCGTTGATACTATTTTTTTAATAACAGAACACAAATTTTATTGTTTTGTTTTTTGAACACAAATTATAACGTACCTTCGGACGATGAGACACACCACAGTTTACGCAAAAAACTTCCATACCACTCAAATTTTAATTTATCAATAAATATTGCACATGTATTCCTATACTTATATTTATATTATACTACAATAAAAATATAAAAATATAAAAATATTTTGTTTTCAAAACATATAGATTAAGTTTTTTCAAAAAATAAAAATAATTTCCAAAAATGAAAATAAGAGAAACAATCTCCAATGATCATGGCCTTGACATATATTGTCAAGCTCATGATCCTGAACAACATTCAAAAGGTTTCAGCCATTGTTCGGACATCTTAGGTAATGCTAATGCCGGTGGTAC